TCATCATCATCATCAGCAGCAGCATCATCATCATCATCATCACCATCATCATCAACATAGCCAGCATAGCCATCATAGTCATCATCATCATCGTCGTCAGCATCATCATCATCATCATCAGCATCATCATCATGATCGTCATCATCGTCGTCATCATCATCAGCATCATCACCAGCATCATCACCACCATCACCAGCATCAGCATCATCAACATCATCAGCAGCGTCAGCATCTTCATCACCATATTCATCAGCATCATCATCACCAGCGGCAGCATTATCATCATCATCATCAGCAGCAGCATAATCATCATCATCATCATCACCAGTATCATCATCATCCACATCGTCATCAGCATCATCATCGTCACCATCATCATCGTCATCACCATCTTCATCGTCATCAGCATCATCCTCATCATGATCATCAGCATCATCATCGTAATCATCATCACCATCGTCATCATCACAATCACCATCACCACCACCACCACCACCACCATCATCATCATCATCATCAGCATCATCATCATCATCATCATCATCATCATCATCATCGTTATCATCATCATCAGCATCATCATCAGCATCATCATCATCATCATCACCATAAGTACCATCATCACCGTCAAGACCGTCGTCATCATCAGCAGCACCCTCATCATAATCAGTATCAGCAGCATCAGCATCATCGTCACCATCAGCATCATCATCATCATCATCATCATCATCATCTCAGCTATTATCATAATCAGCATCCTCATAATCAGCATCATCGTCATCAAAATCATCAGCATCATCAGCAGCGTCATCATCATCATCATCATCAACATCATCACCATCATCATCATCAGCATCATCATCATCATCAACATCATCATCATCATCATGATCATCATCATCATAATCAGCAGCATCTTCCCTCTCTCCTCCTCCCCTCCTCCTCCTCATTATCATCATCATCATCGCCATCATCAGCATCATCCGCATAGTCGTCACCAGCATCATCATCATTATCATCACCAGCATCAGCATACTCATCATCACCGTCAGCAGCATCATCATCATCGTCACCATCGTCATCGTCGTCATCATCACATACACCATCGCCATAATCAGAATCAACATCATCATCACCGTCGTCATCGTCATCAGCAGCACACTCATCATAGTCATCATCATCATCATCAGCATCATCATCAGCATAAGCATCGCCGTCATCGTCCCAATTATTATCAGAATCATCATCATCATCGTCATCATCATTCCCGACAGCATCAGCAACATCAGCATCATCATCGTCATCGCCATCATCATATACTTCTTTGTCAGCATCATCATCATCCTCATCCTCATCCTCATCATCAGCATCGTCGTCAGCATCGTCGTCGTCGTCACAACTGCCACCACCATCATGACGATCATAGTCATCATCATCACCACCATCATCTTCACCAGCAGCAGCAACGTCATCAGCACCAGCATCATCGTCATCATCAGAAGCAGCATCATCATCACAGACATCACCACCTCACCATCGACAGCCTCATCAACACCATTGCCACCATAATCGTCATCAACAGCATCAGCATCAGCCTAACAACCATCACCAGAATCACAATCCTCATCAACCTCAGCATCACCATCATCAGCATCACCAGCATCATCATTGTAATCGGCACCCCTGCCATCAGCATCATCATCAGCAGCAGCATCAGCATCGCGAACATCATCAGCAGCATCATACCATCACCCTCATCAGCACCATCATCATCATCACCACTACCATCACCATCACCATCTGCCTCGCCATCATCATAACACCCGCGCGGTGGGGTGGAGACACAGCAGGGTGTCTCGGACCATCGGGCAACCGTTTCGACTGCACCACGCGGACTCGGCTCCACATCAGAGCCCAACAATGCAATGGTTCGTTTGGTCCTTTAGTACGTTTTTACGCCACTGATAAACACCATTGTCCACGTTGGGCACTGGCGTCGCTGCAATGGCAGAGAGGGGGTCCCCGCGACTGTCTTTATGCACTCTCGTCTCTTCCTTTCACGAGGGCACACTCATCGCGCGTCACGCTGCTGGGTGGAAGACCACCTCTGCTGGCTGGGCTCCAGGTGTACCTCGTGCGCTGGCGGCGTCGGCGCCAGGCAGTCCATGGGCTCGGCCGATCCGTCTGGTGCCATTGTGGCAGCAGCGTCGTGTGATCTACCTCGTGGCTTCCTGGTGCGCAGGCTTGCGCACTCAAGTTGACTATCAGCGCCATGTGTCATATGGCTGTGGTTCTTCGGGGTGCGCACCATGATGGGGCATTACATTAATTAGCGTTTCATCGGGGAGTACTTGTTCGAGCGCTTCATCGTGGGGTGCTTCACCATAGAGTGTTTCGTCGGGGGTGCTTCGTTGTTGGATACGTAATCGGGGCGTGCCCATTGCGGCGTGCTCTATCGTGTCGTACGTCACCCAGGCGTGCTTCCTCCGGGTGTTGCGTGCTTCATCATGGCGTGGTACGTTGTGGAGGGTTCACTCGAAGGCTTCAATGTGGGAGGCTTTTTTCGTGGTCTTCATCGGACTGGCGTGCTTATCATCATGGAGGCGTACTTCATCGAGGCGGGTTTCCTGGAGGGCTTCACTGTTACGTGTTTACTCAGAGAGGCGTACTCCTGGGTTGCGTGTTTCATCGTGGCGTGTTTCACGGAAGCGTGTTTCACAGAAGCGTGCTTCTCGGAAGCGTGCCTCCTAACGTCGTGTCTCGCCGAGTGCGCTTCGCCGAGTGCGTGCGTGCTTCATCGTGGCACGCTTCATTGGGGAGGGCTTCATCGACGGTTTCCTCGTCGTGGCGTGGTTCATTTTGGAGTGG